ATATAAGAAACCGTGTGTTTCATTTTTACTTAAGTTGGACGTAGCTGACAATTTAATGCAATGTAGCACAGTTGATATAAGTTCAGGTTGCAGGTAAACCCGTAACAATCAAAGGAAATAACTGATAATAGTTTAGTTTTCGTCCCTAACACCCAATTATATTAATCTGCGATCATATAAAAAACAAGCAATAGTGCACCTTGAAAAAACTTCACATTAACAACTATTAGTTAATAGCAAGCAGCCTACCCGAGAGAAAAACAAGTATGTACCGAGCACTCAGTTAACTTCACATTTAATGAGAAAAAACAAAAGCTCCTACAATAAAACAGGACAATCACATTAAAGAAGTACCCCCCATCCAAAGAAGGTGTTAAGATCCGCTAACACCAATAATGTAACTCTTTTAATAGAACCCGATAAGCTAAAATGATAACCATCTAATCACATTATTAACAAAATGCTTACCATGAAACCATTAGCTGGTATATGATGATGTGAAATTGCATCATTATTGCATCACAAGCTGACTAACTAAGTCTTGTCAACTAATGAGTGTATCATTATTCAGTTTAACATTTTCCCCCAGTAAATTGTATGCGATAGTTTCCATTTAGGTGAATATAAAGAAAAAATTTGATTTTTAACACGGGATGAAGACCTAAATTCTCATCACCGAGTTACCCAACCTCGCAAAAGAATTAAATACCAGAAAAGAGAAGTACACGAGGACCATATGCAGCAGTGTGTCAACCACTTAATTCAGTTATATTAAGAGATATTAACAAGGAAGAGTATGCGATTCGAACTTCAAAGCAAGGTGAAATCCGATTTCCCAAAAAGCAATACATCCAATTATAGTATTCTACTTGACATTCCGATAACGATTACTCAGATCCCTATATCACCCATCTCAGTTAGGAAATTGGACGACAAACGGCTGGGAATATAACTAACCGAGGTGGAATTCGTGTCCGCATTGAAGCTTGGCCCGAGATCTATCCCCATTGTCGGTCACTGATTCGAGACAAATCGAACACGACACCGCTGCCGACGCTTTGTCTCCCCCTCCTTCGAGTCCTGAGTCACGGTCTTCCAAAAGATCCACATCGCCCAATCCCATAACTACGCAACCCTTCCCCCTGTCAAGCTCTCTCTCTTCCGATACCAATATATATCATAATATAATAATTTAATAATTATATTGATCCAAACGAAACAAAATCGAGATTAAAATCGGTGTTCTTGATCTGTATGTTCTTGATTCAGTGATAAATTAACAACTTCCACGGATGAGAAGATGGCCCGTACTCAGAAGAGGAAATTTGTAAAGAGACGGGACAAAGATGGTGGATAGATAGAGGGAAGTTGGGGGTAGGGTAAAGTGGGGAGAGGGCAATAAGGTGATAACCCTTTTCCTGTCTGGTTTCACCGCCTGGTTTTATGGCCATTAGATTTGGGATTTTATATCCCTCAACCGTCTCTGTGATATGGACAATGTGACGGTCGTGATGACTTTTTTGGGCCACGCTTACCTACGCGCCGCTTAAGCGTGTTTAGCTAACTAACCAAAAATTCGATTATATTCTTTAGTAGGAATAGGAATATATATGTGGGTGAAATAAAATAAGTATAAAGAAATTAATTTTATATATCCATGTAAATTAAATATACTTCGGTTAATCTGAAGGGAATAGATTCTAATAGTGCGCAATTGTTCCTCGGTTGAAAATATGAGTTATGCATTTAAAACATTAAAATAGAAGTTATTAATTAAACTATTTCTATTTATATAATTAAATTATATATATATATATATATATATATATATATATATACACATACATATATATATAATGGATAGCTATTTAACTCTTTTTAAAATTATTGTGACTGTTAACTAAAATAAATATAATTGACATAAACCTGACTTTATTTATAATACATCATCCCAACTTATCCAGATCATTGAACCTCTTTTATATATGATGTCATTGTTGAACCCGCTACACCAACGCAACCCCTCTCATCTTTTGATTCAAATTCATTACAGATGTTCCATAATATGCGGGCGTACTTATTCCATACACCCGTATAGAGCATGGTTATGATTCAGTAGGGGCGAATGAAGATGAGATTCAGTGATAATTCTGGTTAGAATTATAATCATAACAAATGACTTCAAGGGAAAATATAGGTAATCACATTGAAGAAGTAACAAAGCACTTATGGTTATGTTCCTTTTTTCAACTAGTAATCTCATCTCAAAGGTAAGCATGAACTCATGGAAGATGTGTGGATGAGTAAAATGGAGTGAGTAATTAGTGAGAAAAGGAGACATAAATTGATATCCGCTGCTTCAAACATGAGATAATCAACTTGGCTTTTATAACATACTCTGACATGCAGTTGTGTGATTTGGTAAATCACACACACTAAGGTAAATCCTACCTATCAATATGTCAGTGATATTTTAGCACATACTATTTAGTGTTTATTTATATTAACTATATGACATGCAGTTGTGTGATTTGGTACTTAATTCAATATATGACATGTAAGTTGGTAAAAGCTGGTCAACTTAAAATCCAACAACTAGGCTCCTATTCGATTGAATTGACCATCAAACCCCTAAATCAGTTAAAATCGGGAATACCCGATGACCCGTTTAGACACAGACCCAAACTCATACTGATCCAAATCTGACAAATATGAAAACCAAAAAGTAGCCAATAGCAAACATCATTCGTATTTTGCGCATAATGGATGAACCAATGGGCTACTTTTTGAATCGATCCGGGTCCAAGTTTGTTCTAAGAACCACCCCACTTAGAAATTGTTTGAAATATTACAATAGTTTACTCGTCCATCATTCTAATGGGTTGGGTGTGTGGGAGGTTGGGGTGAACGATGCCACCTTTTGGATTGTGAAAAGAAGCAAACCGAGTTGAGCTAGTTTCGGTCTTAGAATGTTTTCAATTGGCCTGATTTCGGTAGCAAACCGGACCAGGCCAAACTTCGAATAATTGTAAAGTACAAATAGAATAGACAACTACTAGACTAAACCAAACTTAAACAGAGTAAATAAAAGCAAACAAAAAAATTTCACTCCAATTAAAAATAGCAGTAATAAAACGATCCTAATTTGGGTCAAAACTGGGGTCCAAATCCTACAGTCCTACCCCAACAAAACTGCTCAGTCTTGTCAAGGGGGCCCATGGAGACTAGGGCAGAGCACGAGTCGGGTTCGAGCGGGTCGAGTTCAAAAATGATAAATCCGTTCGGGTACCGGATTGATAATTTCAAACCCTACCCTATCAAAAAATTTATCGGGTTTTTCGGGTTGAAGAAGTTCATGTTGTGGTCGGGTTGATTCGGTGTTCGGGTCCATTCGGATTTTTAACCTATTATTGTTGAAATTGTGATAAACAAAATGGTAATTGGTAAAAAGAACATTCAAAATTATACCGGTATAACATTCAAAGTAATAGTTGTATAAATACGATAATCGCATATTTGAGTATGTAAAATAATAATATATGGTTATTGACATATTTGATATTGTGATAAATAAAATGATAATTGGTCAAAATATCATTCAAAGTTATAACAATACAACATTCAAAGTTATAGTTGTACAAATACGGTAATTGGAATATTTGAACATGCATAATATGATAATTGGCATACAATAATTGAGATATTTGAAATGAATAATAATTCAAAGTAGTATATATACTACGCTAGTTCGGTTTTTCTGGCGGATGGGACAACATAATTGGTAACCCTACCTGTTACCCGTTTAAGTCTCGGGTTGCAAGAATCAGATCGAGTTTGGGTATTTCGGGTCGGGTTTTCCGACTCCAACAAAAAAATCGTATATATCCGATCAGGACAATCGTATATAACTAAAGATGTTCTTTAATTAGAATGCTCCATCTCTACAGGAGGCGTATTGTTTCGGTCGCCGCCAACTCTGACGGCAAGTATGCACTTTTAGTCAACCAAGCATAAAAAAAATTATATCCTTATAGACCTCTTCCGGAATGTCATGAGACTCATGGAGTCATGGGCATAGATGGGTCATGGGAGACCAACCCGGATTTGGTACTTTATTTTGTCTATAAAAAAATGTAAAAAATCTAGGTATGTTTGACACAACTAGCTGAAAAAATACTTTTGTAAACTTTTTAATAACTGTTAGCTTTTAGTGACTGAAAAGATCTAAAAAAGAAAAGATGGTAACTGTTTGGTAAAAAGCTAATTGTTTGATTTAATTCGGTTTGGTATACAAGTTGTTAGGATTAATTAATACTAAAAGTCACGAGCTTTTCTCAGATGCTACTCTTTGTAGCATCTCAAAAAAAATATTTTAGTTTTGAGAAAAGGGTCAAATGAGACCTTCTACTATTATGAAATGTACTCAATAAAGTGTCAAATAAGTACCTCTACTTGTAAAAAGCAATCAAATGAGTCCTAATGACCTATTTAACACCTCATAATCTCGATTTTAGTTTACATGTCGATTTTTTTGCCTTGTATTTCAACCAATCTTAGTTAAATATTCGACATATGCCGTATAATGTATTCTAAAAAGATGGTCAGAAGTACGTTGAAACCGGGATCAAGAAGTGTTAAATAGCTCATTAGGACTCATTTGATTGTTTTTTACAAGTAGAGGTAATTATATGACACTTTATTGAGTACATGACCTTATGTGACTATTTCATAATAGTACATGACCTTATGTGACTATTTCATTTTATCTTTAATTTTTGAAAAGATCTTAAAAAGTGTCGAGACTTATGTCTATCAAACATAGACTTATACTAAAAAAAACTTTCTGATGACCTTCCCAGCCTTTTCTAGATGCGCCATTCAATTCAATATGTTCACGGTAAAACTGAAAATTATTTTATGGTGATTCTGGTGAATTTCATTTTGTAAACTTAAAGCTTTTCTCTAAAATATTACTCCAACAAAATCTATTTACAAAAATATAATGAAAGTTATTACTCCGTATAAGCATAGCTTCATGGTCACTATAATGTCAGATTGAACATAATAACAATATGAAGTTACTAATGTAGTCACTTTGCATAACAAATCACATTTTTGTCCTTGATGTTTATTTTGATTTTTGATCATATATGTCATTATTTTTATATTGTTGTCTATATCTCGTCTTAAATAAGAGGGATAACTTGTAATTCCGAGCACGGAAAGTAAGAATAAGTCAGACGAAAGAGAGAACACTTCAGTGCAGATCTTAAATCAAAGGAATGATAGCACAATTTGTCAAGACACATTTAATCCAGGAGCACCAAACGTATAATTAAAATTTAAGCATAGTAGTTCAAGCTAGCCTTCTTCTTGGCCTGCACTTGGATAATGCCTTCATTGAAATCTTCATGTGTAACCTAACGCATTGTCAGGCAAAATATCAACTTACTGGTGGTGATAATGGAAAAGAAAAAAGAAAAAGAATCAACAAGGAAACCATCCAACGCTTAGGATGAAAACAGACCTCTGTTGCATCTCGGCGTAGTGCTAACATGCCTGCCTCAACACAAACAGCTTTTAATTGTGCCCCATTGAAATCATCTGTCGATCGAGCCAACTCTTCAAAGTTCACATCTGGGTGAACATTCATCTTTCTTGAGTGGATCTGTAATTTTTTTGATGGAATTATTATGTACTAGCTCAGTAGCCAAAACACATTAGGAAAAAATGAAATAACTACGAGTTTTTCTAATTTGCGCCCATGGGTGGTACATGATAAAAACCAATTAAAATGCTTCATTTACACGTTTCAAGAAAGTGTGATATTCTTAATCGATACAATTATCACTAATGTCTATACATTTATCACCAATGTCAGATAATTTAAGAAAATCTATGAGCCATAGATACTCATTTATTGCTTCTTATCACGTGCCCTATGGCATACGGGCAGCAGTGTGTGTGGAAAGGGTTGCAAAGCATAGAAATCTCAGTGCAACACTTAAGAGGCTTTTATCTCTAATATTACTAACATAATATTGACAGACTAAAATGTGAATACTTAATAAATATGCCAAAAAGGAGTAAATATGTCATTTTAGTCTATCGCCGCCAGTAACACTGTCACCGCTAGTAACACAATCCCACATGTTTGCTTTCTATGGTGGCTTTTTACCCAGCGGCTTTTCAGGCAATCGGCGGCAGCTGAGGGTTGGCTGGGATAGTTGGGAGGGTTGGTGTTGGAGAGGGAAAAAATGTCAATAGAAATAGAGTTGGAGCTTAAATTTATCCTATTTAGTCACTCATTGAAAATATTAGGATGAATGATGACGATTGAAAATATTAGGATTTACATAACATAAATTCTAATATTTTCATGAAGGTGAATAGCCTTGGTTGTTAACAGACCCCAAACTCTTTTGTGATTAAGGGTTGGATGTTGTTGTATTGAAAATATCAGAATTCGCCCTATCTTTGTCCATTGAAAAGCTAGAGGTTACATTTTGCTCATTCTTTCACACTTCTCTTTATTACCTGCAATATACGAGCCCTGGCTTCCTCTGTAGGATGGGGAAACTCAATCTTACGGTCCAATCGACCAGACCTCATTAAAGCAGGATCTAAAATATCAGCCCGATTTGTTGCTGCTATGACCTGAAACAGACCAATGTGAATACCACATGTCATATAATGCATCTACAGATCTACTCTACGAAATTGCACACTATCATCTACACTGTAAGAAGGCCTATAACATAGATATGGTATCATAAAGATATAATCACATCCAAACACTATACCTTTATTCTATCATCGCTGCTAAATCCGTCAAGCTGATTCAATAGTTCTAACATAGTTCTTTGGACTTCCCTGTCCCCGCTGACCTCACTGGATATAATGAAAAGTACGCAATTAAGGTAATTAATCATCAAATTCAACACAAAAAAGTTGTTCTCAATTTGTTAACCAGTGAAAATGATATTAACAACAGTAAAGAGAGAAAAATTGCAAAGAGAGTTTTGAAATCCACTTGAGTACAACTGACAAATGCCAGATAAATAACAAACCTATCAAAACGTTTTGTGCCAATTGCATCAATCTCATCAATGAAAATAATGCAAGGGGACTTTTCCTTTGCAAGCTGGAAAGCATCACGAACAAGTTTTGCTCCATCTCCAATGAACATCTACAATTATAACAGCGTTCTTTTCTTTCAGCAACAAAATCTCATAATTTATCTACATATACAGATCGCATAAGCACACACATATCAAAAGTATTAATTTTTTGCTAGTATAAAGCACTAACATCATATTCAGATTTCTATCTCTGTTCCTATTTCCTAAGGTTCAGTTATTATAGATTAATCCATGTATCAAAGCAACTGTAAACAAGACGAGCAGCAATTCAAAGATAGCCACCATCTAAAAATTGTTCAATGATAAACTAAAATAGAATATTCAGATGAATGTTCCTTTAAAAGCAAATACTGAACTGCATGACTTGCGTAATTGAAGACATGCAACCACCTAAACGAATAATCATAATACGAAGTATATGCCACAACTTATCACTAAAAACAAAACGTACACCTACCGATAAGTCTATTCTGTGGAAACGCAAAGGGTATGAAACAAGAAACCTGCATATTAACATGATTGCAACAATATCTATTACCTGAACAAGTTGAGGACCTGCTAGCTTGAGAAAAGTAGCATTTGTCTGAGCCGCACAGGCACGAGCCATTAGAGTTTTACCAGTCCCCGGAGGTCCATAGAGAAGAACACCTTTTGGTGGACGAACTCCTAATTTTTGAAATCGCTCTTTGTGCGTCATAGGCAAAACAATTGCCTCAACCAGTTCTTGGATCTGTAACAGTTCCCATAATAATAATTTTTAGTGGGTTGCACATCACATGCTGAGCATAACTCAAGTCAATACTGAATACCTTACTCCCCCCGTCCCGCTAAGATTGTCTCATTTTAACTTTTTGGGAAATCCCACTAAGATTGTCCCATACCATATTTGTTAAAGTTTGTGTAACTCTCAATCATTCTTACTTTATTCTTACTTTATCAATTCAATATCAACCACGTAAACCTTCTTTTCTTAATAATCGTGTCACCTTCTTCCGTCCCAATGTTAGTGGGACGGAGGTAGTATAAGATAGCTCAGTTGTACAAAATACAGAAAGTCATGCCTGCTTCTCAAGCCCTCCAATATCATTGTAGTCCTCTGTTGGTTTTTCATCAACTTCCATTGCCTTAACTCGAGAGTCAAACTCAGATGGCAAAGTGTCCAAGATCAAATAACTATCTTTGTTCACACCAACCAAATCACTGGGCTTCAACTTGTCAGGATCAACAAGACCAACCACAGGCAGGAAGATTGTCTACAGTTGGGAACAACCATTGAACCATATCAATATCAATAGAAGACATAGCAGAAACGAAATGACACATAATTCAATTCAGAAGAAAACGAGATAAAGCATGAAGATAGAATCATAAGGCATTGAAAAGGGCTTGCAACCTTACCTGGCGAGTTGATGTTTTTAGTACAACACACTTGCCCTTTCTTTGTGAGTCAAGATCAATATTTGCACCATCCTCTTCACCATCTTCCTCTGGGTTCATTTCTAAAATCTGATGATAAGTGGATTTAATCAGAAGCTAAAAACTCAAGAGAGACCACAACAATGTTTACGGTTGCATTTTATTTCAAAACTAGTTAATTGGTTGATAGAAAAAAATAACGTTTTCCCCAGAGACATCTTGTGTCATACGTAGTATAATCTTTCCTTCAAAGCCAACATGAAATCCATAAACCAGAAACTGGCCACTTCTTAGAGAGTGGGGGTGTGTGTTGAAGGTCATGTCAAGAATATGCTTCTGTATCTAAATTTACACAGATGGTAAGTTGCTGGATAACTGATTAGTGATAACTTCTTCCAAGAAATTTAAACTTTTCCTCGTTTAATCTTATAAACTAGCAATAGTTTACGTCCTAGTAGGGTAATGGGGTTTAACATGTGCAGGTAGCAAAATAGATTTCATGTTCTGAAAATCACACTTCCCTACAGGTATTTTGGGTAGAGTTCCAATTAAGGCTACTAATGAAATGAAACAAAATGATTTAGAACTATTCAGATCTTGGTTTGATAAAATAACATTCAAGTTCATTTTTTGAAGCTCATTAATATAAACAAACCAAACTCAAGCTTGACAGTGATCAGTTTGTTAGATCATGGGTTAGCTCATTAGTATATTGATATGTTTGGTGAGCTCACCCGTAAAAAAAACTTAGTAAACATTTAATTGCGAGCATGTTCTTCATGAAGTGTAGAACAGCATGTTAAATAAATTTTGTCGACCCGGAAGGCCCTCAAACGTGCTTGATCGCACAACGATTCAGGTTAGTTCGGACTGACCAGAATATTACTCTATTTTACTATATTCAATATAGAACGTCTCATTGTTAAAAAAACATATAAACTTAGTAAAAAGTGTTATATTTTTTTATGTACAACCGATTTTCAACACACATTAAATAATATCTATTATATATTGTGGGAGCCTTTGCGGCACTGGGGTAATGATGATGATGATATATTGTCCTACATATTTATCAAGCACGGCAAGGATCGATTAGGCTCATGAAAAGTTCATGAACCATGGATGAATCTGGAGAAACGCTCAAATTGATAGTAAACAAATCAAACTCAAATGTTCAAAGTTCAATGACTTAACAAAAGCTCTAGCAGCCTAGCTACAGCGTTTAATAAAACTGTTCCAGGAAGTTATTTAAACTGTTCTATGAAAGGTACATCTCACCTATAAAGAATGCAACTGTGCATAAATTTATACAATTCAACAAACAAGGCATTTTGCAGTGAAATAAAAACAAAGAAATTATAAAATATGATGTAGTTTTTAACCACATGTTTCCACATTAGGGCTGCAGTGCATAGTAGAAGGAAAGAATTACTCGCCTCAACTATGTTTCCAACTAAGTAAGGAAGCTGCTTGTTGAGTTTAATCTTCTCTTGATTTTCCTTGATCTTCTCCTTGAACGAATCCAACTCAAGATTCGTTCTTTGAACTTCTTCCTAATATCCACCAACACCAAACGTTAAATCAGACTCTAGGAAAATACATTGGGATCCCAAAATGCAAAAAGCCATTAAAATCCTGAAAGATGGGGGACCTTCATAATTCGAATTTCGTTGTCGAGCAGCCGCGAAGCCCTGATAACATCTTCAACGGACATAGAAGCGAGCTGGTCATCCTCGAAATTGGTGTCCTCCGCCATGGCCGTTGCCATCTCCGCCGCTACTTGTGCGAGCGTTAAAGTGTAGAGGGATAGAAAAAGCAAGAAAACACTGATCAGAGAAGCCAAGAAGTTGAGAGATCTGTTTGGAAGACCGGAAGTAGAGCAAACTTGGGGAGTACTCCGTATCCTTTTAGGCGTACTTCTCTTTTACAGAAAAAATAGAACAGTATAAGTAGGCAAATGTCGGGCTTGGGCTTGGGCTTGGGTTTGGGCTCATTGAAAATTGATTGGTACATTTTTTGTACGCTCCCTATTTTGTTTGTGTATACCATCAATTTATTTAAAAATTCAATTTTTTGAAAAGTTATTTGTACACACAAATAAGTCGTAAATAAATATTACTTACGCTTTGACTTAAGTTTCTCGTTGAAAACTGAAATGATTATCAGAGTAATTAAATAAAATAATTCGATTAATTTTGATAAATAGTTTTCATTTATACATAATATAAAGAGGTCATTGATGCTAACTGTGATGTAATAGATATATCATTTTTAATATTTGACGATTAAATTGTTATTTAAGAGTGCTAATCTTTTTTTTAAATAGAAATGAAACCTTTAGATTGAACATCCAAAAAGGTAAGTGAAAACGTTAACCTAGGACAGAGGATTAATGGTGTAGTTGGGTATTTTCATCCTCTTAAAATTGAAATGCTAGTAAGCGACACAATTATTAAAAATGACATTTATTAAGAAAGTTGTTGATGAAGTTTTGTAGCACAGCGAAAATTTTATTTATTATTGGTCCAAAATAAAATAATTGTAAACCTCTTTGAAAAGGTTATGACAAGAATAGATTTTAATGCACCAAACACTCTTGTGATTTAGAAATTCGACGCATTAGCTTCTCGTGGTTTAGAAAATGCATCGAATCCCCTTGTATTATTATTAATTAAGGCAAAATCTCTTCTATGAAAATTTTTAATTGTCAAATAAAAGAAAAATGATTAATATTTTTGTATAATTTAAAGATTTTGATAAATTTACTTACATATTTAATCATAATATTAAGAAAAATGATTTTAAAATAGTTAAATTTATTTGCAAAAGGGGTTCTGCGCATGAACAATTTTAACATAAGGGGGTTGGTGCATTATCGGAGATCAGAGATCTAGAGGCTTTGAGTAGTTCTTTGTTGCATTTTAAGTGTTCTTTACCTTGACTTAGTGACTCCTATTATTTATATATTATTGTAGAACCTGTCAATTATTGGACAATATTTTCACAAAGGATCAATTTGGTAGTTTACATGTTAAATCTTTTCACGTGAAATGATTGCATGCAAACTTTCAGGAAACAATCATTTTGCATGTAAAATAGATTACATTGTTTGGTTAGATGTGTAATTTATTTTTAATTTGCATGCAAAGGCAGTGCAGTGCTTTATAAGGCGGTGCAGTGCTTTACATGGTACAATATGAATTTTTTTTAAAAGGGTCATACAGTTTACATTAAATAACTCAACCAAACAATGTAAACTTTTTACATCTCTGCAATTTGCATGCGAAGTAATTATTTTACGTACCTCATACCAAACGCTTTCAAAAGTTGACTACAGAGAATTGAAGTCGCTTTTCTAATCTCAAAATCTATTTTAATTTTGAAACACAATTAAAATAAGAACTAAAAATCATTTGAACAGGAGCCTTGTAAATGTGTTAAAAGCCTTAAGCGTATGAGTTTTCGCTTTCGTTAAATTCTCGTAATGAAAAAGTATTAGAAAATCTACTTTCCTCACTAATGATTGTTCCAAATGCACTAAAATATTTGAATCAAGTTCTCTAATTTATTGTGTGACTGACTCACTCTCATTCTTGGATTTATTTGGGGATAATTCAGATGATCTAGAATATCGTTTTGGAGGTCACGGTTGAAAAGATGAGATTATCGAAAGATTTTTGAGAAGAAAGATATGGTATTAAATATTAAATCCTTGATTATTCTTAATTTTAAATAAATATACTTAATGCAGACATTTCTTTTAATTTTTTAAAATAATCGAAATACTTCTTTCGAAATAACAAGAAGCTCCTTAAAACTGTGTAAATAGAGATCATAGTTAAAAAGGAGTTAGATCTTTGAACCACTGAATTTAACTTTTCATTAATAATCACAACCACAACATGTTCCAATAAAATAATTACAATATACATATGGAGAGAGACATATTGGAAACCATGCAAAAAGGTAGGTTCTTGTTAGGCAGCAGCACTCCAAGCATTTGGCATAAGAGTTCATGATACCTAAAGTGTCCAGTAAATGCCTAGCCAATGAAACACCCCAGCAATGACAGCCCAGAACAATATCTCACCAAATATTACATACATCAGAATTCCCACTCTTCTTGAATGCCACACTCCTATAAAAACATGTTTCTTGATCCAATATACCTGGAAACAAAGGTTCACTTAATAAGGAAAAACATGTCCAATGAGATCAAAGAGAGCTTCACATTATTCATCACATGTATCTCCAATCATGAAAAGGTAGAGAGTGCATCACATATATACCAGAGTGTTGTGAGGATCATCGTAGTACCAACCGTTGATGAAACCTGCAAAAATCCCTTCAGCTGCCATAACGTAAATGAGCATCGCATTCTTCCCAATCCACTCCAGTGGCAGAAACAGACATCTGAGGTTGCTAACGTCAACCTGAAGAGGAAATTATAGCAGTTCTCCAATAATCTTAACTATGAACTATGTATGATGTATCTTGATTTTAATGCCTTAGATGGATTTCGTCACCTTATTTTGTAACTTGTTATTTATTCTTATTTTATGTATATACCAGTCTAGAAAATTTAAGGCCAGAAAGATTTCAGATGTGGCTAGACCGGACAAAAAAGTTAGACAACATTTGAAACATTCAGATCAGGCCGGATCATAACATTTTAGATTAGACCTTAACAAATTTAGATCAGAAATCACATTTTTGAAGCGAAGAGAATATGTTTTTGGAAAGACTTAGAGATTTCATCTGAAGGGTTAAATGGTTAATCCTTATAGAGGAGTCGCCCAAGGCCTTACACATGAGTTCATATCTTTATATTTGGTCAATGCGAGATGACTAAGTGACTAACAATCCTTACCAGAATGTACAGTACTGAAAATACTAATGCGGCTGCACCAGATGTCACACACACATAGCTGAAAGTGTACAGTTGCTTATTTAGAGGAATTGCTGCAACCAAAGAATAATGGCAGTGTGAAAAATGAAAACTACAATCTAAATGCTTTAGAGCTTTAAACATTAACACCTAGTTCCTTTTAACTTGTTCTAATTTCATTTTGGAAGTTTATTATTAATTGCACTTTCCAATTTGGCAACAATCGTCATATCAAAGTACACAAATATCCTTATTTGTCATCTTTGCTCAAGTATTTTTCTTTTCTATTTACTTTTTATACACGATTCATTATCCATACAAGTCTGTAATGTTACACTTAAATTTTGTAAAAAAACATACTTTGAGTGAGTAAAAGTAAAGAAAGGTGGTATATGGGTTATTATACCATCTATAAAGTGAAGGATGATTCCTAAAATCAGAAGTACAAGTCCCATGACAATCCAATGCACAAGTCGAGAAGAATGATCCTGTCAGTTAATTCAAGATGAAGATCATAGTGAAGATAAAGTGGAAACAAAGTAATTACATGGCAACCATTGATCTAACCTTCAAGTGGATAAGAACATGTCCAAAATGAACTCCAATAATAGCGGAGAGGATGGCAGAAATTGAGCTGTATTCATAACCAGCATGAGAAGCCACACAGATGCATTTTGTACCTCACCTAAGACTAGGAGAAATGACCTAAACATTGTACTTGCTAGTTCAAATCGTGGGCTTATCAACATCAGATTACTCTTGTGGGCTTAACATTCTCTCATACTCTATAAACATTTGTGGTTTCATTCTAAAATGTCAATGTAATAGTAGCAGCAACCTAAAACCTTATGATAGTATGTAAGTGAGGATACATATGTTTTTGTGTGGAATGACTGAACGGCTACTTAGGTGATAGCAAATATATTTTAAAAATACAAACAACCTAATAAGGTGGCATTTCCTATTGAATTGACCGCTTGGAATGGAGATCCAAATCATAATACTGTATCTATCACAGACCATTAAACTCGAATGAGCAATTCAATTTGACTACAATTCAAAAGGAGCACATTCATTACAAATAGACGACGTAGCTGCACATCCTATTGCCTACCTCAGTATTCCTTCTGGATCAAAAGGAGCCCAACACCAAGACGGAGCATCATTTCTGAACGGACCCTCATGCGGAGAGTTTTTCGTGCAGGCCTGCAATGCTTCACATCAAGACTTTGAAGATAATAAGATTCAGGCAAAAAATTAAGGAAAGAAAAATCACCTTAGATCTCTTCCAAGCTGGATGAGGGTACATATGATTGATTCCTAGAACTTGTCTGTCAATATAACCCACTGCATTACATGGAGGATCCAGTTTCCCTCTTACATTGCAAGATACCTAGAAAGTGAAAACCAAAGACCTTATTGTTAGTGGAAGAACAAAAAAGAATCAATTTATATAAGGATTTCTTTCTTCAAAGGAGGACACTTACAGTTAAGACCTTTCCAAAGTCAGGACTGTTTGTATTTTTCACAACGAATTGCCAGTCAGGAACATATGTTCCATACAATGTGGCCATGTAAACTACTAAAACGCAACCTCCAATGGCCCTGCAGATCATGGACTACATAAACATAGTTTCAAAAGGCGCAATGTGTCAAGTGAGTTTCACGTTGAAATATTAAACCAAGACACATGTGTTTATACTGTCCTGAATTATATTACATAATCGATTAGATACATTCATTCTCTCAATGTGTTTCAACTTATGTACATTATTCCCAAATGAGTGCTCACGACTCAAGCAAGAATTAGCAATACCAACAATACTGCACAGGGTGACACTCACCAATGTCGATAGTATAGCTTAAATATGGAGAATGGTCCCCGCAATACAACCTTAGCTTGCCTTTTTTGCAACGAGATCTCTATCATCGCTGCCATGAAATAAGCAAGAGCAATCCTCTAGAGAAATGGAAGAATTAAAAGAAGCCTCATTAGTCACTAAGAGACAAATAGAAATCGAAAAACACAAATCAAATAAGGCTACCTGGAGAATGCCACACCATCTTATCTTTTTCAAGTCCACACCATATGTTAACTTGTCTGGTGCGTGTGAATATCCTCCTTCACGGTTGCAGAAAAACAAATGAAAGGGATTATTTGCTTTCTATTAACTATTACGACTTAGAGTTCCATCTAAAAAGTCAAATTGATATAAGAAGTAACTTAATATGTTATATAAGTTGCATTGTAGATTCATAATTAACGGATGTAGGAAACTTGTAAACACTTAACTAGACACAGTGCTCTAAGCCTCTAACCAACCTTGTAAAAGGAGTCCCCAAAAAACAAGCTTGAGTGTCCTTAAGATCACCTTCCTGATAGCCATAAGTTTTTTTGGTATTCTCTGCACATTAGTTAATTAATTAAAAGGCAAAATAACAAGTGCAGGAAAACTACTTTGCTCTCAGTTTACTCAGTTTCACTAGGGAAAATTGATGAAATAAAGAGGTCAAACCTTGAGAGAGAGTGCAATGGCCATTCCCACAATAAACAGAAAGAAAGGCATCACAAAATCAGCAAGATTGCAGCCATTCCACGGTGCATGTCCTATCACTGGCCACTCTCCTCCGGCATCATCAACCAACACCATCAACTAATCACGAATTCCATAATTAGAACTAATCATGAATTCCATAATTACACTTGAAATCTGAAAGTGTACCAACTAATGTGATTGTCTATCATATCAAATATTTGGGATTATATAAAGAGAGTAATCCAAAGTTTTATAGGAGCCTCATTGGCAAGACTAATAACGGCTGTGGTGGCTACATTTTGTTTGAAGATGTACTGAAGTACTTTATACGTAGTAAAAGATTATATTTATAAATAATTTTATTAATAAAACAAATAAAATTAATACATGATAAAGAAAAGGCTAAATGTGTCTATCTTCTTCAACATCACACACTCAAATAAACATTATGAATGTTACTTTTTCTCATTAATAATCAATCCAAAACGTGAGGTTAATAAATTATTATTGATAATAATAAACTGGCCATCATTATTTGTAGCATTAACATTGTAACAAAAATACCAAACCCTCCTACAAACCGCATAAATTATGCCATACGTATGTACAATAGTAATTTTTGAATTTCTTATTATTTTTAATTTCTAATTATTTCTTCCGTCTGTAAGTGTAAAAATGGTGTAGGAGGTTGGCTGAGGGTAAAGTTAATTGTTATGTTAATATTTCAACTATTGTTAGCAATTAAAAGTTTAAAACTTATATACTTAAATACTCGGTTTAAATCCTATCGAATCGTGAAAAATAAATCCAAAAATTATATAAATTATTCAAAATCTATATATAGATCGGAGCTCTAAAGCTATTGTTCCAATTTCATTTACAATGCATTAATTAAAAGTTACAGATTAACCATATATTCACGAATGTTTCTGATTTCACTCCGAACTCATGTAGAATTTGATGCGATCATATCTTGCTCTATTTTGTGCCGTTGAAAGCATTTAATATCTATTTATGAAATCTATTTAGTACGGAAGATTTTTTTATTCTAATTTTTTTCTTCTTAACACTAATGTGAAGTGACTATTTTTTATGTAAAGAGTGCTCATGATCTAGTATGACTTTATGAGAATTTGGTAATGATAAAAATGTTTTTTTAAATAATAACCTTATAAAATGTAATTTCAAAATATAACTTTTTTCTAATTTTTTGAACTATATATAGATCAAACCAGAAGAACTCACGTCAGACCAGACTAAACGAGACCGAAGTCACGAACTTAAACATAACAGACTAACCAATTCGATAACTATATGAATAACAAATTACTACATATAACACATTAACAGATCAGTATCAATAATAATAAAAAGGAGCAAGCAAATAATGTATTTAATACACACACACACACGTATATATACTAATATACATACAAAGGAGTACTACAATATTAATGTATCATTTTCATTTCATCATTTTCATTTACCCCAGTGCCGCAAAGGCTCCCACCTACGGTGGGGTAAGAGGGGGTCGGATGTACGCAGTCTTACCCCTGTACTAAAGCACAGAGAGACTGTTTCCGGATGACCCATAGTGAAAATCGCGTCCAAGATTGCATGGACTGACTGCTTCTCCATAACAAAGAAGCGCAAACAGTTTAGTGAGCCATTTTATAGTAATAAAATAATACGCGTGTATCAATGACGACAAAAATATTTATTATCAATAATTTAAATAATACGGAGTAATATAACAATTATAGTAATAATATTTCTAGGAACTATAATATTTCTCGGAATAATATTCTACTATACTATTTCAATTTAAAAAAGTTTTCATTGTTTGACCTAATTCTCTGTTTGTAAATTTTAACTCTACCATGTTATACTTTATTTCATATTTTTTCAATTTTTCTTTTTCTCTTTTCTTACTGGATCATCTTCTTAATGAGTTATTCATACAATTCTCCACTCTTTTTAATTTCACACCTTTTTACTCTAATTATTATCATATACTCCGTAGTAATATACTACCCGTTCCTCTTTAGTTTGACATCTTTGACTTATTAGTTAAAACGATTGACCAAAGTTTATCTGTGGTTTTTTCTCAATGTTTTTAATTGTACTGATTTCAGTATGACAACGGACTAAACCAAACTTAAATAAACATACATAATCTCACTAAAACAAGGGTGTGACAACTCTTGAATTACAGTACTATGTATCTGCCTAATCTGTATAAGTATCAAACAAGTCGAACACTTACCGCAACAGTAAGGCCTCGGAAGACATCGAGAGAGGCCACACGCTTTGTGATCTGCAGAGGTTTTTCTTCTTTATCCATTTCTGGTACTTCTTCAGTATCCTTGATGCCATGCTGCTCCTCTTCGTTTATATCACCCATCACCAAACAATTCTTATAGTTTCTAGCTTTTTCATCTCAAAAAGAATCGAAGAAAGTGATGAGATATATACTGTGATTAGAAGCAAGAAGACAAACTTTGGTTGTTCTGCATTCGCTGTCACCTTTGTTGTCTGGTTCCAGTGATAGCGTGACTGTTTTTAATTCTTACAAAAGGTGGAATCTCCCGGGAGCCCAGCCCCCATAACTGCTGAGTGGGGTGGAATCTCCCACTCCAGAATAACCCCGGGTCCGGGCTTCGGTTCTATTTTTTTTTTTTTTTGGCTTTTCCTAGTTAACCCCCAACCCTCCCCCTCACCCCAAACCAACCCTAACCACCTCAAATAGTCCAAAATACCCAGCCCAACCCAAAAGCTTAAAAAAAATTCAAAAAAAAAAATGGCCCAACCCAGGCCCAAACCGGCCGGGCCGGTTCACCTTTTGAAGGGCCCGAGCCCGAACCACCATCCCACCGAGCCGGTTGGCCCGAACCGGGCCCGGAACCGGTTCACCGGTCCAGGCCAGGCCCACACAGTAGCGGGCCGGTTCCGGGCCGGTTGGCCCGGCCCGAGTCCACCCCTAGGGTATTCACAATTGTGGGTGAATTATATTTCACTTTTAGAACATAATTTGATATTTGAAACTTGATATTTGCTACGTATTATGAAGTTCTATTCATGTTCTTAATCTCGGCACCTGTTTTAAAACTTCACACACGTCCACACACTAAAAAAAATCATGGTTTGAGACGCATGTTACAACTTCACAGTGGGTGTTTTAACGGCCAACAAAAAATCCAGCCTCAAAGGATCAACGGCATAAAATTGTTGATCATGTTAATTGGGAGGTAAAAAATTTGACTTTATCATATCAGTCAAGTGTAGATCACTTTCCAGTCCCACTATCACAAATGGAATTCACAAAGTTAAAACACTTTCAAAAGGCTAGTTACATTCCATCCCACTAACAAGTAACAAATAATAATGACAACAATACAATAAAGGAATAACCCAAAATACATTTTCATTAATGATTCTCCAACCATAAGAGGTAGCAGGATAAGAGATGAGATGTTTCTTCAATCCACACTTTAACATGTCTACCATGCCCCTCTCTGTTATAAGTGGCTGGCAACCCTGGCTATCAATGGACCCTTCAAACTAATTAGCCTCGCCCGCGACCTCCAACTGTCACCAAAACAATCCATAGAAATACATGCAATTAGGAAAAATAGAGGCCATCTACTTCACCTAGACTGACTAATTTACAATTAACTCTACAGAGCAATAGGTTGGAATGACTTGATAGTCTTGGGGAAAAAGCAGGGATGCATTTCAGAGGTCATTGGCATCAATATAGAGAGATGGGTTTTAAAAGGGGCCACTTTATGAATGAAATAATGAATAAAGATAGGATAGTTGAACTAAGTCGGTTCAGGAACCATTAGATCAATCCAACCATTGGACTATTTGTTTCAATAAAGTCCAAAAGATATAACTGTGGTTTTAGTGTTGTGCTTTACTAGTTGAGGGTAGAGTAAGATGTGCGAATAAAATGTCTATTTTTCACTGGAACTTGCAAAACAAAAGTATTTTGAACAGAATATAGATTGCCCATAGATAAATCTGTTCTATTTTTAATTTCATTCTTTAACAGGCTTTACATAGCCCATAAAATAAACCAAATCCATTGACTTATTATTTTTAACTCCCCGAGCATGGATATGGAATTCATACAACTTTATGTTCATCCAACCACTTATCTGTCCAATGTACTTGCACTTCCAAACTTCCAAACCCATTCGCCAAAAAAACGGGCACAAGTCAAATGACTTCATAGTCGTAGAAATAGATGTGGAAACTTTTCTTGAATGAATTCCATACCTTTTCCACTAGGCTTGCCACCAGGGCCACTCTTTCCCCGGCCTTTGGCAGCTCCATCATCCATCCCACGCCCAATTCCTCTTCCCTGTCTACCACCAACATTATCTTCTCTACCTCTTCCCCTGCCACGCCCTACACCAGGTGGCTTCCTGTCTGAAACCATATACACCAAAAAAGTAAAGAGTTCAACAATAGCATACTGAAATGTTCTTTGAAGAATTCTTACTTCTGAAATACTCAAATGTAGTATTCTTTTCATATTATTAAGGTGCTAAAGAGTGTATGGACAATGGACCATGGAGAAATAAAGAATGGATGGCTAGTTATTGGCTACTTCATGCTATGTTATACCCCCTCCCAAAAGTGGTTGAAATAGTATATTAGTACTGTATTTTTATATAATTAACTCTCAAGCAAATCTAGACACGATAATGTCCTTTTCAGATCTTATAAATATTAACAGAATGATAATATAGACTACCTGCACTGCTAAAAACCAAACCCAAATGTCCAAAAGCTGACTTCCCCTTTTTTTGTCTTTTTTAATTGATATCCACTTAATTCTGTAAACCCATACCCCTAGTATGGATGCAATGGGGGGTCATAGCACTACTGATAATGGGCAAAACTTCATTTGCAAAAATCAATATTACCTGTTCGGCTTTTAGTTTCTTCTTGAACTTTATCAATCACCTGGTGACACGCCAAAAAATGCCATTAGTAATGAGTATGTAGTTAGAAAACATATATGGAGAAATCCAACTCATAGATACAGTTTAGTGAATTTGTAAATAGAAATTTAAATTAATTGATTGTATTAGGAAAGCTGTTGTTAGAAATCATCCAGTCTCAGTTTTCTACATTGACATAGGACTTATAATTTATAAATAGAAATTCAAATAAAAAAAACATGAGGATTCACAGAATTAACACCAATGACACACTAAGAGTCTAAGAGAGAATAATTGCATATTTGCATGAGGAAAGTTCTGGTCAGAAAGAAACCATTCTCTGTTTTTTCTTCAGAGGGATGCACTTCTACCAAAGGTAGTGAAATCACAAAACCCTTAGGAGCACATCAATGTCTGCTTTGGCTAAATTGCATCATCCCAGAAAAACAAACAACATGTTTTCAAAGAAAATACACACTACTACAACTGCTTAGGACCCATCAATTAGACCCCTGTGCAATTTTCACTATGGGTCATCCGGAAACAATCTCCCTGTGCTTTAGTACAGGGGTAAGATTGCGTACATCTGACCGCCCCTTACCCCACCGTAGCTGGGAGCTTTTGTGGCACTGGAGTAATGATGATGATGATGATGATGATTATGAGAAGATAGATTAGGGGGGTAAGCAGTATTGCTAAAGATGTTTAATTGGTAGGAACTCATAATCATCACAATACTCGAGATATAAGTTCAAGTAAGTCCATTTAATGTTTTGAAATACATTAGAATACATGTAAACAAATACTACGTATAAAGAAATAATAATGGCTAGAAAATTTAGAGAGTTCCCGAACCTCATCTGGAACCCGAAGATATTTAATTGTATTCCCGCGAATATAGCATTCTGGCATTCTCCAAAACCTATCTCCATCCTGCACCATGAATATTTAAAAAATAAGCCTAGTGATTAGAATGCATTCGAGAACCTGTTAGCATTATAAAGATTCTGTCAAGAGCATATGAGAAAGTACCTTCGAAGTACAGATGACTTCACGGAGATGAATATTCATCCAAGTATCACAATTTACCAAATGCCCATTATAAGTTTCCCCATTCTTTAGTTCCACTAACTGCAACGGGAAATGGTGAGCATTGAAAACAAAACAAGATTCCAAAGCAACTCAGATCGTAGACATATACAATTGAAGAATTAACACATGCGCTAGAGCAGGTCTTAATGTAAAAAAATAATACAGATGTGAAGCATACCATGGGATGCCCCTGGGCTGTTTTGAGGAGAGAAAGCGGAAGCTGATAGAAGAAACAAACGAAAAAACTATGAAGGACTTTAAACAAACACATCTCTGTGTATATATAAACAAAGTAACAAATCTGAAAACCCTTAACCCTAGTTTCAGAAGGGATAAAAACAGTATAGCTACCATTTTAGCAAGCACGACAATCCAAATCTCCCAGATCAAACAAGCTGTAAACTGAAAAGTAAAGACGAATGCATTAAGCGAAATAATGCATGAAAAAGAGACGGTTTAGAAAAGAGATACGAGTTCGAGACGATTACCACTACCCCTCCAAGCTAAAAGAGGAGAGGGGAATAGGGTTAGCTGTGCGTTGAGGTTTCGACTTGAGTGGGAAAGTCGCGACTGTCAACAAAGGTTCTCGTGCATTTGGGTTAAAAATATAAAAAAGCAGGGCAGCAGGCAAATATTCCAGGTCGATTAAGCCCCTTAATTTCGTTTATTTATGAGTATGCCTTGCTAATATCCGGTGCTGGTTATGTTTGACTAGATCTAAGATAATCTATCTATAAAATAATAGGAAAATTATCAATTGCACCCTAGATATCACAAAAGAAGAAGCAATTTACCTGTTCAAATAAAAATCTAATTAACACGTCAAATTCCGGAAATACAACTAAACAGGTTTTGCAATTTCAAAATAGCATCGCAATATTTTTTTCCCAAAATAAAAGTAACATAACAGTATTTACTGTCTTCTTGTAGTCACTACTGCCAAATAATTGCAGTGCTACATATTTAACATGACAGTATTTATTGTTATTAATGACAATATTTTTTAATCATGACAGTTACGACTCTTAATTTAGAAGGAAAACATAGCATACCTATTTTTTTACAAAATTTGTTTACTACTATTTAGGGCAATTTTCCGTAGTTTATTAACACCATGTGCACGAAACTACTACACCGGAGTGATATTGAACTCTTAACAACTCACCTCAAACTCTTGAGAGAAGTAAATTGAAATTGTTCAAATGACCTTCTACTTTCATACCACCGTCTTACACCACCGCAAACAAGAAATTAGTTTTTAATTTATTGATTGTGCATGTCTTGAAGTTCCTAGCACAACTCATGTGATAATTGTCACTTATTGATTGTCATCATGTTCTTAGTAAGAAATTAACTTTCACATTGTCGCCTGATACGAGATAAGTGCTGATGCTTGATTGTGTGACTAATCGAGTTAGTCCCGGGTTAGAGGATCATCATTTGAGAATGTTCTTTCATATTCACCTACTTGATGACTTGAACTCAACAACCTCAGAGGGGGAGGGTCTTAATGGTGAAATTTGGCCCGCTCACATTGCTCAAGTGTGAAAAATCTCTAGTTTGCTTAGTGACTCCTGCTCCATGCGTCCCACAATTAAAGTCCTAGTTTGATTTTACGTTCTGCTAGGCAGACGCTTGATCATAATTATCTATAAATATATGTCTATATAATCTATAATAAATTGTCAGTTGAATAATACCACATATGTTGCTTTTGGCTACTTTTTGCCTGCTGACTAGATAAATAAAGTACTATAAAAATACAAATAAGAATCTAGATCGATCTGAAAAATCCAAAAAAGAATTGCTTATGAAAAGCTACTTAATAGTTTTTGTTTTTATTTTTAGAAGTTTGAGGCATTGCACATATTGTGATACAAGTATCCCAATACTGCTCAGCTCCAACTCCACCATCGTGCATCACCGATACACCCCTGCAACAGCTCTAAAAAGTACAATTTGATATAGTTTCCACTAGTGGAGGGAACAATAATCCGCCTAGTAATAGCCAAAATGAGGATCCTCGTGTATGTGATGAGTTCCTCATTTTGTGCTATGTTGATGTACCAACCAACATTGTATGGCATTCATTCTTATTACAGATGTTTTTATGTCCTTGTCGAAGAGAGTGAAAACGGCGAAGTTTGCGCACATTTGCATCCAACAGCCTCTGAATTCGTCCTATGTCGAGACAGTAGTTCTCCATCCACGGGACAACCCCAACAATACCTCTACGTCCTGTAAGGTGATGCCCACCTCAGCAAAAGACATGTCAAAAGTCTGTGTTTTTTATCTCCGTCTCTCAACTAACGGCATTACAAGCGCCCAGCCTAACTGCAACCTTCCAGTGGTGCCGACGCCATAAAATCTGGAGGCCTTCAACAACACTATCACTCTAGGGTGACGTGGGCCGTCTTTATACGTCCTTGAACAATATGTTATACACCTCAACTTCTCATTCATGAATGTAGGATCATTCCATACAAGGTCTGCACGATGCGCGTAGTGTGGCATCACTACCACAAACCTATATATCAACTGGGTCCATAAGTAGTATTTGTGCAGTCATTCGTATATCAACTAACAATAATGAGGTATTTTATTAAATGAAATTATAAATTAGATATAAACTTTCAATGAAACTATATCAGTGTTATGCATTACATTGTAATATATGTATGATTGAAATTGTAAATTTTCCACTAAACAATATTATTACCGTGCCAGAAACTAGAAAAGGACTAGTTCCATGCGATTGTGATAATTTTACCAGTATAGTACAATTAAAATAAATGTACCAATACAAATTTTAGACTTGTCGCTGAACAATATTCTCACCGTGGCAGAAAGTAGAAAAGGACTAGTTCTAGACGAGTTTGTGATGATTTTACTTGTATAGTGCAAATATAATATATGTACCGATACAAATTATTTTAGACTTGCCACTAAGCGATATCGTCAATGTGCCATAAACTAGAAAAGGACTAGTTATAGATATTTTTTGTCAGAAACTAGAAATGGACTAGGTCCAAACGAGCTGGTGATAATATTATCAGTATAGTCCAATTATAATGTATGTTTTCTTTTATGGAACAATTATATTACATGTTATGAACTAAATTATATTATAATGTTATTTGGGAATATTTAATGATAACTAAATTAAATTGTTCAACTAACTATAAACTAAATATAATTCGTAATATAAACATAGTCTCAAATTAGCATATACACTAATTAACATTGGTGGTTATGCTAATACGGAGTATCATATATATATATCAAATATAACCAATCACTTAATTTATTATTCAATACATTAGTAGCAAATATTAGTGAAACAATGGTAAACGTAGTTAATTACATTAATTAATGTCTATTCAATGTAAATTAACAACACCTACAAATAATTATAAGTTGTGAACTGATTATTTCTATTACTCCCTCCGTCACGAAAAGATTCGCCAAATTGACTTTTCTTGGTCAATGACAATCAACTTTGACCAATGATATTTTTTAATACAAAATTATTTAGAATATGAAATTTATACCAAAATGTTCTTTATTCATAATATTTTCATAAAAGTATAAAATTTATAAATTATATACAAATATAATACTTAAAATCAATGTCCAAAGTTCATCATCATTGACCAAGAAAAGTCAATATGACAAACCTTTTTGGGACGGAGGTAGTATTATTTATTCAGTATGACATATATCATCTATCTTAATGACAATTATGATTGGTTACATATTAATATTAAGTTCTTCAAACTATTCAAACAGACATAACAAAATCAGTACACAAATCTAGACGTAAAAAAAATAAAGATATAATTAAATTTCTAACCTCAATTTGAAGAACACGATAATTTAGAAATAACAAGAACACTCGATATTTTTTTTCTAACTGAATTTGTTGAAGGTATTTAAAAAGGATAAGATTGGGGTTGTGGGGTGAACTCTCGTACAAAAATTGGAGGGTTGAGATAGTTTTATCAAATCTGATGGTTGAGATTATGAAGGGAGAAAGCACAATATGTGTACTTGTTGTTTGGCCAATCAGGGAGCAGTTTAGTAACAACATGCAAAAGCTCCACATATAGTCCACACCCACGTTTGCTTCAGCATTTAAAAGCTCCAGGGAAAAGCAGTTTCGGATTAGCCAAATCTGAAATTTAAAAGCTTATGATAGCACATGTCAATGTCTGTCGCCAAACCCTACATCGTTGTCCAATAAATAAATATAGCACAATTTCGGATTTCAGTCCCACGTTCCCCGTATTTTAGTACTCTAACCCCGACTCTCGTATTTTGGGAGTGACATCTTAAAAGTCCCGTAAATCAATAATTTCCTCCTATAAAACACTGCTAGAAACTATCCCAAGGTATTCTACACTCCTTAAGGAATCTGGGAGGTGCCAGAGAGGTGGTCGGAATTCACCGGAAGTTCACTGGAAGTCGTCGGAAGTTGTCGGAAGTTGACCAGAGACGAAAAAAGCTTGTTAGCATCATTTTAAGGTGAGAAACGACTTTATGTCTTATAACTCTTGGATTTAACGTGGGATTACTGAAGATAATCAAAACTATAATTTGAGAAATGCTTGAAATAAATTAAGATAGGTGATTTGTCATGGTAATTATGAATCATGTGGATAATACATGATGAATAAGCAAGAAAGGTATATTGTTGATAATATCATGAATATAATGTTATTAAAGGGACAATGAGGTAGATTTAAGTTAAGCATGAGTTAAAAGAAGTGTCTAGGGCCATCAACATGTTACTATTATGGACAAATGGGCCATATAAAGGTCCATATCCCTTAACATGCAGATGTGCGGGTTAGTACACAAGTGGCTCCCCTTGTTGTCCTTTTTGTTTATGGACAACTCCTTTTCTTCTGCATGACTTGGGATTTCGTATGAGTGTTCTAAGGCTTATCCAAAACCTCTGTATGGATCAAAAGTCGTGTGGTGTAGGATGGATAAACATGTGGATGTTGGATAAAATATCTTGCAATTATCAAGAAATTATCTTGTAGCCCAAATATATAAAGGGAAAAGTCTTAAATTATTACTATGGGCGAACAAATGGGTAGGGGATGGTTAAAGAAAAATATACTCCTAATCTCCTATGATCCACTTTTATCATTATTGAACTAAATTATGGGAGTAATGTTCTCCTCATATATTGTACCCAATATGAATTATTGAGATCATCCTACACATATTAGAGACCAATAATATGATGTGAAAAGTTGACTTTGTCTAAAGAAGTTACAATGAGTATAAAAAACATCACATGCCAAAAGGATAACAATATGACTCATTCTTCTATTTTTGGAAGTATTAGTAGATACTTACTCCTAAATTAACCGGTACCACTAAGGGGGCATCCCATACGACTTAGTCACATGCAAATAAAAGAAAATGGACAGTGAGTGCATATTTGGATGAACAAATATGTTAACGAGAACTAAACAATACAAATGAGATAAAATTATGGCACATTCATGTGCGGTTGCAATGAATTGGTAAATCATCTTCCTCATACTATCATCTCAACTCATGAGACTCATTCTAGCCTTTTGGGAGACCTAGAAAGTTGACTTTTATGTAAAACATTACAACATGAGGCATGGGGCCTGCACATGGAGAAAATGACAAGAGGGGGGGGGGC